CAACATGTAAGTTTGTTTGCATAAATTCGTCTTTTTTTACTTCCATAAATTGTTTTAATATCTTACTTGCCACTTCTATTTGATGAAAGGTCTCTTAAGACATATTACACATGGAGTAGGAAGCGTAACGTAGAAATGGAGTGACAACTTGGGATCCAACCAGATGTAGGCAGTTTCAATTCAAGTTCTTTCACTAACAATCACTTCATATTTGCCTTTTTTCATGTTTATTATTTGCTTTTCATTTATAATGCCATAAGCAACCAGGGATTACAAAATGCAGATACTATATTATCCATTTTATGTATGAAATTATTGAGACTGGATTTACTAGCTAATTTGAGAAGATAATAATTACTTTTGTTATCATTATTGTGTTTTTAATTATTTGATCGTAATGATTTTTTTATTTATAAACTTACAAATTTTTGATGATGAGAGCTCATACACGGATGAAGATATTGATACTATCCAAGATCTTTTGGCACAACAATTTCTTCAAGAGTATTATTGGTCCAAATAGAACATGAAGTGCAAAGAAATTAAAGTAGTTGTTAACTTAGGATGTTATTAATTTTTTAGGTTTTAATATTGTCTTGTATATGACTTAGTGTTGCCATTGTTTAATTATTTTTTTTTAGAAGAGTGGAACCTTACTATTTGTGTTAATGGATTGTTGAATATTGCTATGGTTCTTCTACTTTGTATGCAAATGTGATTCTATCTTATATCGCAGGTTGTTGTGAATAACAGTGACAATGCATATAGTAAACTACACATTTATTTTTTTTAAACAAATGACTATTTTCGTCTGTTGCTGTTGAATAGAGGAAAAATGTAAGGTTTTATTCATTTGTTTAACTGTAAATAGACGAAAAAGGCCCTACCTTTTTCATTTGTTTAATGGTAAGCATACTAGACGAAAAAGGCAGACTTTTTTTGTCTGTTATAAATAGACAAAAAATTGCCTCCTTTCTATATCTAGTACATATATGTTCCCCCCAAAACAGATGAAAGATGTCCTCTAGAACAGACATAAGAAGCATCTTTTGTAATTGTGTTAATAAACAAAATAAATGGTATATAAGAAAGACATATTTTCTACGTTGGTTATATGCCAACCATCATAGAAAAACTTATCAACAACATTTAGCTTTGCTAAACATCATTGTTAATAGAGTATCCATGACGATTATCTCATGTAACCAACATGAAATGTCTAACTTTCTGTGACAGTTATTTTTTTTAACCGTCATAGAATCTTGCATTCCATGTCGCCTATTAACTATCATAGAAACTCACATAACTACAACACCCATATGTACTACACATCCCTCATTTAATCATCGTTAAAAGCATATTTAATCGATGTTAATGATCCTTTTTCTAATAGTGTGAGCACCAAATTTTGTCTAGGCTCACAAGAAATGTTTAATGAAATAAATAAAAAATAGTAAAGGAAAAATTAAAGAAAAATGCTCCTCAATTCTTCTTTGGAGGTTAAGTTTGAAAAGTTCACTTTGAGGCAAATAAAAAAGGAAAATCAAATAAAAATCTCCTCATCACAATAAATGACAATAAAATAAAAGATAAGACTAAATGCTTATTAACCTTTAAATTAGGAAATGTGATATGGGATCATCAAAGAAGGAAATAAGAAAAAAATAAAAAGTAAAAAAATGAAATCCCTCACTTAAAGATGATTAGCTCCCCAATTAGAAGTATCTTTTGGAGTCATAATTGTGAAAGATAAAAAAACAGAAGTTATAATAAAAAAATCATGAATTAATGATGATTGATGCTTAAATAAGAAAGAGAATTATGAGTCACAATTGAAGGAAAAAAATAAAAATTCAAGAAAAAATGAAAAACCATAAGTAAATCTTGTAAAAAGAAGAGTAATGATTGAAGAAGGGCAACCAATTTTTTTCGAGAGAAAAGGAGGCAAGATAAAGAATTCTTATATTATCTTTTCTAATGGCAATAGGGGTTAAAGATTGGCTAAGGGTGACCAGGGTAAAGTGAAGCTCATTATTCATATTCTTCCTCACACCCTAGGAAAGCTTGTATCTTCGTGGTGATTATCACATATGTGAGTTGCAACACCAAAGGCTAGAGGGTGAAATCCAATATGATTTACATAATTTTATTTTCTTATTGTTTTTCTTTGATTTTCTTTTCTCTTCCTTCTTTCTTTTCTTTTCTATACCCAAGGAATAACCTAATCTTATGGTTGTTAGTACGTATCTAAACCTCAACACAAATGGCTAGAGGGTGTAATCTAGTATAACTTGGATTTTGTTGTATTATTTGTTGTTTTTCTTTTCTTTTTTTCTTTTTTTTATTTCTTCCCTTCCTGTTTTTCTTATCCTCTTCTTTCTTTTCACTACTTACCAACACTCGTTTTGTTCTTTGCTTTGTTACAATCACATTTCTAATTGTTCTTTTTTATCCTTTCTATTTTCTTTGTTACTTTTATCCCTTATAAACTATACATTTTTTTTCTCTTCTTCTTTATTTTATTTGATTTTCGTCCCTCTCCCATATTTTGTCACTTTAATTTCATCCCTTCCATAATTCTTATCATGATCTAATTCCTTTGGTATTATGATAATATATCTTATGGCATTTGTTGTTGCATAGCAAACATACAAGGATCAATAGGTATGTACTTATTTCTCATCATCTCCTAGAATTATTGTGTTATATTGTAGTGAATTTTATGGGATAGTATGATGAGCAGGCAATTGCTTGCTTTTCCTTATTGGCTTAAATGGTTGCAAAAATAAAGGAGAAACTTGACTTAGAATAAAAACCTAGGGCTTATGTACTTTTTAGAGGGATGAAAGCCCACGCAGTTTAGGAATATAAATGCATGTCACTTGGTTGGTGTTTTTTTAAAAAAAATATTTATTTAATTTATTTAAAAAAGGATTTTTTTGTGGGTTTGTGTTTTTTATATGACAAAAACAATTCTTTTATCTTTATTTAAAGAGAAAAGAAAGTTTTTGTAAAACTTTTAGATTAAACTTCCTAACAAGATTCTAATAATTAGTTATGAATTTTCAAAGTTAGACCAAAATATAAAATGTACCGGTGAATAGTAACCTAAGAATTAACTTTTAAGTTTTCAATCTACGGGTTTGTTTTATGAATTGCTTTAATCGTAACACTTCCAAATGCATACTAAAAAGGGTTTAAGGAAGGATTTTCATAATATTAAGCAGAATTCTTCATTAGCTAATATGACTCAGTGCACAAAAGTAATTATTTAGGATGAAACACCAATGGTTTAACAATATTAAATTGAAGCATTTGATTGATTGATGAAGGCTATCATGCATGTTAACTAGTGGTTTGGTGGAAAGTGTATTTTGATGGGTGGTGACATTCACCAAATACTTTCAATAATACCAAAAGGGATAAGGGTAGATGTTGTTAATGCATGCATTAGTTCATCTTACCTTTGGGACTATTGCGATATTTTCTAGTTGACAAAGAACATGAGATTATCATCAAGTTCATCCAATAATGGTTACAATGAGTTGTATAAATTTTCACAGTGGCTTTTGGATATAGGGTACGATGAGTTAGGCATGCCGCATTAGGGGTATGCAAAAACCCGATGGTCTAGTCCAACCCGAGGTGGTCTAGTCCGGTCTAAATAAATAATATGATAAAAGTAGACCAGATTGGCTGGTGGGGTTGGACTAGGTTTGAGACCGAGTGATTAGACTACCTGGACTAGTCCAATATGATCCAGGTGATATTTTTTAAAAAAATATTTTGAAATTTAGAATGTTGTTTTTTTATTGTTATTTAATATTATTAGAAATTCTCATGGATCTATAACTAAGTCTTTATGTCTCGGGATAGTTTTTATATGATTATTTTTTTTATTATCCTAATTGTGTTTATTAACATGAAATCTTGATTCTTATTTTTGGCTGTGAAATGGAGCACATGAGATGGTTTGAAAGTTTGAAAATTATGCCCCAAGGGACGCCCTACTAGTTATTTTATATAAATTTATTAGGTTTCCTTGCAAAACAAATACTTGTGGAGGCCAAATGAGATTTCATGAATGACAGTATTCCTCTTGTGCTTGATGACATTTAGGAGGACAATATAAGTAATTCCGTGTAACATGTTAAGTAAACGATCTAATTGAATTCCATGTACGACGTTAATTGAAAAACAACTAAATTCTAGTTTGCCTTGACATAAGGACATGTGGGAAATAAATTTTCCAATGTTCATTCAGTATCATAACCTAAAGAATAATATGCAATGGAGTGGGATTACTAATTACAAAAAATATAAAATACAGAAATGAAACTAAAAATAAAAAATGAGGGTAAATTATAAATATTAATTATCATTAATTAAAATTAATAAATGTTGATTAATTATTAGTATTACTAATTAATTAACTAATAATTAATAAATACTAATTAAGATATTATTAATTAATCTCTTGAAACAAATCACAGAAAATGGTTGGCAAAAAAAAAAAACCAAAGAAAATGACAACAAAGAGAACAATGAATGTTTGCATGGGCCCATAAAAACAGGATAACGCTCTAAAACTTCAATAGTAGGATATTACTAATTAATTAATTAACAGTTGATGAAGACTAATTAATTAATTATACTTAATTAATTAATTTTTTGGCCTGAGACTAATTAATTAATTGTTAGTTAATCTTTTGAAACAAATCAAGAGGAACAGCATTGGCCCATAAAGAGGAGATAACGCTCTAAAACTTCAATAGTAGGATAATAGTATTACTAATTAATTAATTAACGTTTGGCCAGAAATTAATTAATTAATTAATATACTCGACAAAGACTAATTAATTTAAAAAAAAATCAAAGAAAACGACAACGAAAACAACGATGCATATTCACATCAGCCCATAAAGACGAGATAACACTCTAAAACTGGGCAGTAGGCCCCAAGTAGCTGCCGTTCACTTCCATGGCAGCATTAAGAATCATATTCTTCTCCAGCTCCAACGGCACCAATGATACCCTCACATGGCATCACAATAAAGATCATCATACTCTCACACAGGATTGAGAACTTCGAGGTTGGAACTGAACTTCTAAAAGCACCCCCAAAAAAAAAAAAAATCAGAGAAAGCGTAAAAATAAAGGAAAAGTGTATTAAATAAAGAATAAAGAAATGGTACTTTCTTCATCTCTGTCCTTCATTTGCGCGGACATTCACCGATTTTTCACCATTCCGCTGACTCTCACTGTGGTGCTTTCCGCTGGGCTTCCTCCACCTTTTCTTGCCTCTGCCTCTCGGTTCTCTCATCAACACCGCGTCGCTTCCAAGTCAGTTCGGTCTTTGTCCTCGTCGGCGATGGCTTTCTCCCAGTCTCAATATCCGCCTCCTCCGGTGGCTAAGAAAGTGGAACACCCAATGGAGATGTTCGGTGACGTGAGGATCGACAACTATTACTGGCTTCGGGACGATTCTCGCACCAATCCCGATGTCCTCTCATACCTCCGTCAAGAAAATGCATACACTGACTCGATTATGAAAGGTGTGAATTTTATCCTATAATTTCGTAAGCATAAAGCATGCAGACCTTTAGAATCAATTTTATGTGTTTTGGAATGTTAAGTATTATCGAGTATGCCTATCTGATCTCTCCAAACCTGCTGGGAAGATGTGGTTTTGAATTTCTTCGACTTCTTGGAATGTTGTAAAATTTTGACTTTGGGTATAATTGGATCTGCTGGATTGCATGTTAGTATCTATGGGACAATATTTAGTTTGGTTCGCAAACAAGGAAGTATAGCATTTATTCAGTTGTTGGAGGCTTTTTCTTATTATTCATTACTGATATGGAACGTATATTTTCGGCCATACTCCCATGCGTCAAAGCTATAGACGGCTACTAATATACCGCTAAATTGATTTTCTTCACCTCGATTCGTTCCCAGATACTAAGCTAAGTATGACATCTGATTGCTGCACAGCCCAAAATGATTCATGTCTCTATCAATCTCAGGCAATCTGCTTAAATTTTATTGTCAGTGCTTAAAATCAGTTCATAAAGGGAAAATCTGGTGACGGCTTAGAAGCCTGGATATATATGACCTGGTTTGGTTGAGTCAACTTTATCAAATTATGGTTACCTTGAAACTTGGCTTGATTTTCAGATTTCTACCCAAAGTAAGCTTGTATCTGTTTGTTATGGCTCAGATTAGCTCGAATTTGATGAATTAAATGGGCATAAATACTGAAAGGTTCAAATGAGCCAAAATTAAGCCCACAATTCTGGGTTGTCTGTGAACTTTGTTCATTAGCTTGGCTCATTTGACTCAATTCAGCCCCATGATGACACTTGTGAAAAATATGCAGCTAATATTAATGACATCACTATCATATCTGTCCAGGCCTCTGTAGTCTATAGACAAGCTTGAGGTTGTATTTTGGGTTCTTGTTCAAGTTATTCCTCTGTAGTCTACTTATACACGTATGTGCATGCGCGTGCACATGCACACTCATTTGAAAAGGATACAAGCTAAAACCTAACAATGTAAAGCAATAATTCTTAGATATGTGTTTCTGATGGATATATATATATATATATATATATATCATCTAGGGACCAAGGAATTTGAAGATAAGCTTTTTGCTGAGATAAGAGGAAGGATTAAGGAGGATGATACCACTGCACCTTTACGAAAGGGGCCTTACTATTATTATGAGAGAACTCTGGCGGGGAAGGAGTATGTTCAATATTGTCGGCGTCCAGTACCTGACGACAAGGCAACACCATCTATTTATGATACTGTTCCGACTGAACCTGATGCACCTGAGGAGCATGTTATTTTGGATGAGAATATCAAGGCTCAAAATCATGAATACTACAATATCGGTGCTTTTAAGGTCAAACCATTTACCATGACATTTTCTCTTTTATTTATTTAAATTTTTAATTCTATTATTATTATTATTATTATTTTTCACAAACGTTCCTTCTTTTCAGGTTAGTCCAAATAATAAGTTAGTAGCATATGCAGAGGACACTAAAGGTGATGAAATTTATACTATTTATGTCATAGATGCTGAAACTCAAGATCCTATAGGAGAGCCTCTTCATAATGTAACATCATATATTGAATGGGCTGGCGATGAAGCTTTGGTTTATATCACAATGGATGAGATTCTCAGGCCTGATAAGGTGGTGCATTTTCTCTTTATGCTTTTATTAGTAGTTTGCATCATAATGATAGATGCTTCTTTCTCAACTCACTAAATTTTAGGGTTTGATCAATGGAAATTTCTTATTACGGTAGTTTCATGTAACCAAATGAAAACAAAGATAGACTTGAAAATTATTATATTAAAGCTTAGGCCTATGATTAAGCAATGATAAATTGGGAATTAGTTAATTAAATCGGGATTCTGTCTTGAATATGCCACAAACATTAATTTCTTTTTGCAACTTCTATTCCCTTTTCTTGAAAATTGAAATCACAATCTTAAGGTTGTATTTATGCTTATAACAAGTACGCTGGGTTTATGGATCTTGCATGCTTAGTCATGATGATTGTTTGCATAACTATAATGATTTTATGTGCTGAAGTATTTTTATTTAGCTGTTGGCGTTGTGATGTAGGACCAGAACAAGTAAATCAAAAATCATTCCCAGTGTTATTCAGACATCACTCTTGGCATAAAAACTTGTGCATCATTCCTTTCCTCTTTGCTTTGTGAAGCTTCCAATGAGCCTGTGTGCATGCTAGTTGGCCTTTGGTACCTTCCAGTTGGGTCTTTGTTGTGAGGCTACCTAATAGTGATAGGTTTTGAATGAACATATATCAAATGGAAAGTGCAACAGCAGGGTCTACTATTGGCACAACTTTTGAAACCCTATGCATGAAGTAGTGCAACCTTGGTTTAGTTCTTCGATCAGATTTACAATTGTTAATATCCATAATAACACCTGTTCTTCTGTTGTTCACTTTTTCTTTCTTTCTTTTTTTAATTTTTGTTCACTTTTTCTTTCTTTCTTTTTTTAATTTTTGGTTTTTTTGGCTAACAATACAGCTTTTCCTATTTTATCCACTAACTTAAATATTCTCCATTGAATTTCTTTTCATGTAGCTATCTCTATAAACTTTTGACTATTCCTCGTTTCATTTTCCATGGGTTTCCGTTTTGGTGTCGTAATATATATATATATATATATTTTGGGTGTCATTCTAGTTTAAATATTTAATGCCTTATTATATGTTTTAGCATGCTCAACATTGGCAGTATTGTTGAGAAAACTTTTTGAGCACAATCACCCTGGTTATATGAATATTTCCACACTTTTATTTCCAAAGATTTGTGTATATCTTGAGTCAAAGTGATGGAACATGGGCTTCCTAATAATTTTTTGTTGTCATAATATATTAAATTTTTTATGCCTTTTTTCATTTTTAGCATGCTCGACATTGGCAGCATTTTTGATGGAATATGGAAGATTTGTCCTGGGATTAGGAAAATCTAGGATCTGTTAAATTTATGTGTATATTTTTTTAAAAGTTAGGACTATAGTTGGCTTGGAATTTAGGTTATCTTTTAGGTAAATTTTGTTTGGATTGAGATTTAGGGATTCATCATATTATCCTATGTTATCTAGGATGGTCCTTATTTTATTAGGGTTATGTTAGATTTTATTATTATTTTTTAAACAATTGTATCTAGGGGTATTTAAATAGCTGTTAGGTTTCCTCAATGGTTAGACAATTTTGATGAACTGAATAAAGTTGAGAATTTCACTTACCCCGTCACCCTCAAGTTCTTCTACTTCTCCCTCATTCTAATCTCCTTTCCTCTCTGTCACTCACACCCCGCTTTTGCCTTTTGTTTTTTACATGACAGGGATTCTTTTCTTTTATTTTCTTAGAAAGGGCTCCCCTTATCCTCTTGGTTTGGTATGGAAACAAATTTGACTTGAAATATTAATGGATTCAATGATACTAACTGTCATGAATTGTTTTGCTTCCATCAGACTTCAAAAACGAAAAAAAATAAGTACCAACTGATCCCTGAAACTCTACAGCTCCATTGTTGTCATTGGCCACAAACTCGCCTGATGAAGTCAGAAACTATAGCCTCTATCCAGATTATCTACCCAAGGAGGATCATAATTTTTCATACTTTACTCCAAGAATTAAATAATGATATTTCTTTTCCCCCCTTCGATTCAACAAGACTCTCAAATTTTCTACGAGCAAATCTTTCACAACATTGAAATGATGTCAAATTTTTGAATTGCAAGATTGAATTTTTTATACACCCTTAGCGACCCTGCAAGTGGTGAAATGCTGATATGAATTGATCATGCTCATACAGAATCTGCCTAACTTAGCTCACATGTATGTGTCCAATGTTCTTACACAGAGAATTGAATTTTGCAAAGAAAAAAAAAAAAAAATTCTTCGTTTTCCCCCTTCAGTTGTTTCCAAATGTGTTGATACCTAAAAGAGAAAAGGAATGAACACAACCCATTTTGAGATCAAATTCCTTCTACGCTTAACACTTTAATCCTCCCTTTCCAAGATCTTCATTACATCCTCCACTGCATCAACTTCAACAACTGAAGCTAAATAACTGATTTGAATTCTGATCTTGGCTCCATGTTTGAGGGCATGGATCTGTAAATTGTTCACAGTATGGAAGGTTTTCAAAGCGTTGATGAAGAGTGAGTTGTGGAGATCTGGAGAGGAGATGGAAAGTGAGACATTCACCATTCACGACTTCAATCCTAATAGAGGAGGAGGTGAGTGACGATGGATATGAGTGACACTAGCAAGGCAGACTTTCATGTCTTTGAACTTGGTGGAGGAGGAGGTGACAGTGTCGACGCTGGCAAGGTGGAGAAGGAGGGAGGGAGGGAGAAGAGGTTGAAGGGACACATGAGGGAGGGGTCTAATTAAGGGTAAAAAAGACATTTATAATATTGCAATGGATGGCAATACCCATTCCTTTTTTTTTTTTGGGCGAGGGGGAGCATGAATGTTAGATTACCAAATTTTTGGTAGCTATCATTACAATGGTAAACCCTATTACTGGACTACAGAGCAACCAAAGACCCCTTCTCTTGGTAATGCAGTCCTGATTGCCATTACAAGCTGCAATGGGGTTGAGCCAAAATAGGCCCTTAGCCCCCCCCCCCCCCCGGGGTTGCATTCTTATAAACTTGTGACAATGAATATTGGATGTTATGGGAAAGAATGGAGATGACTTAATCGTTTACAAATTTGTATCTTCTTTTGTAGTCTTTAAAATCCTTTTGAATCTCTCTCCGATCCCTTGTGTTGATTAATGAAATCATTGATGCAGGCATGGTTGCACAGGTTGGGAACAGAACAGTCAAAGGATATATGTCTTTATGTGGAAAAGGATGATAAATTTTCTTTGGATCTACAAGCTTCTGAGAGCAAGAAATATTTGTTTGTAGCATCAGAAAGTAAAAATACAAGGTTTAATTTTTATCTTGATGTTTCCAAACCTGAAGAGGGACTTAAAGTTTTGACACCACGCATGGAGGGTATTGATACAACTGTTAGCCATCGAGGAAATCATTTTTTCATTAGAAGGAGAAGTGATGAGTTTTTTAATTCAGAAGTAGTAGCTTGCCCGGTTGATAATACCTCCTCTACTACAGTTCTTCTTCCCCACAGGGAAAGGTAAGGCAATTTCTTTGTAATTTCTTTCATAAATCCTTTCTCTGGTGTATTTAAATGTGTTTTCTTCATCATATATGCTGTTGTGGCGTTGGATAGATCTTTTGTGCTGACATTTTCATTCCTTTCTTTGTGAACTTTTACCCACTTCAACCCAAAAGGCCAAAAGACTCCCCTTTTTCTAGGCTGTAATATGTGTGTACTGTATATTATCTGTAAATTGGCTTGTAAATGACACATAACTGGGGGTTTGAATTTAGGAAAGAGTGAGAGACTGCTTTCTGAAGATTTGATCATGAATGAACTCATCCACTATGGTTAACTAGGTTTGAAGAAAGTCTTGAGTAGTTCTTTTTATTAATTCCAGATGCATTGTTCCTTCTTTGAACTTCAAAGCCATAATTCCTAAGATGATTTCTGATCATTTAAGCTACCTTTGCTAGATTCTTCTTTCCCATTCTCCCCCTTTCCCATCATTTTTGAAATAAATTTTCCAACCATCTTGTCCTCAAGTAATAACCGCTGAAAGGAGATATGCTATTATACATCAAGTTGTTGCATTGCGTGGTTTATTGTGAACTTAGGTAATCAACTCTCAAGATCTTTAATTCTTCATCATATATGCTGTTGTGGTGGCGTTGGATAGATCTTTTGTGCTGACATTTTCATTCCTTTCTTTGTGAACTTTTACCCACTTCAACCCAAAAGGCCAAAAGACTCCCCTTTTTCTAGGCTGTAATATGTGTGTACTGTATATTATCTGTAAATTGGCTTGTAAATGACACATAACTGGGGGTTTGTGAATTTAGGAAAGAGTGAGAGACTGCTTTCTGAAGATTTGATCATGAATGAACTCATCCACTATGGTTAACTAGGTTTGAAAGTCTTGAGTAGTTCTTTTTATTAATTCCAGATGCATTGTTCCTTCTTTGAACTTCAAAGCCATAATTTCCTAAGATGATTTCTGATCATTTAAGCTACCTTTGCTAGATTCTTCTTTCCCATTTCTCCCCCTTTCCCATCATTTTTTGAAATAAATTTTCCAACCATCTTGTCCTCAAGTAATAACCGCTGAAAGGAGATATGCTATTATACATCAAGTTGTTGCATTGCGTGGTTTATTGTGAACTTAGGTAATCAACTCTCAAGATCTTTAATTCCTTCTGAAAGCCTAACTTGGTGAAACAAATTGAGTCTGTGATTTAGGACAGGGAAAAAAACTGGGATGAAGAAGGAGAAAGTGGGAGAAAGGGAAGAGGAATGAGGGGAAAATGAAAAAGTACCATGAATATTCAAATCAATAATCATCTAGTCTCACTGAAGAAAATAACCTAGGGCTATATAGGAAGCTCGAAGGGCAATGCCTTAAGGCAATCAAAGCATAATAAATGGAAAACCTAAGATAATTAGTGAAAAACCTGAATAAAAGCATGCCTAATGAAGGAAAGAAAATGAAAGTTACAAAATAAATTACTAAAACCATAAAATAAATCTTTCCAAATTTCCCATAATGTCTTCGTGCTTGAAAGAACTCTCCTGTGGAGGCGAAGACTGCTAACATGGCTTTAGCAAGTAAGGACCTAAGTGAAAAAACCCCCTCTTTAGTTATTCAAGTAGCATCCAAATCTGAATGATTTTTCTAGCGGACAAAATAACTTTGGAGGGTCCCATAAGGAGAAAGAATAACCTAAGCAGCTACAATTGCATTAAGTTCCTCTAAAGGTGGAGCAACATATGTTTACAATTTCTGGTGAGATTTGGGTGAATTTTCAGTGATGAAAGTGTGAATGGAACAAGGGGGACTTTGTTTTGATACCAAATTGATTTGGTATGGGGAAGACAGAAAGGAGGGAAAAGGAGATAGAGGGAGAAATGGAGAGATAATGGGAGAAAGGGAACAAGAAGGAGGGAGAAGTCAAGAGAAAAAGGGAGAAAACAAAGAAGAATGTGGGAGAGATATGTAATAAATAATAGCTCTAAATATTGAAATCATCAAGTTTGATGAAAGACATTAAAAGAAAGCATATTAAAAAGGGGGGGGGGGGGGGGGGGAGATAACAGAAAGCATAATGGAGGAAATAAAAATAAAGTTGCAAGATAAATCATTAAAGTCATATCGTAAATCTTTTGAATTTCCCATAGATTTGTCATTCTCTATTTGTGTAACAAAAACTTACATTGAATTTTCTTCAGTGTTAAAATTCAGGAGATCCAGCTTTTTATTGATCACCTTGTGGCATATGAGAGAGAAAATGGTCTACCAAATATAATAGTTTATCACCTTCCTCCCATTGGAGAACCACTAAGGAGCCTTGGAGATGGTCATGCTGTTAATTTTGCTGATCCAGTATATTCAGTGGAATCTTCGGAGTCAGAATTTTCCTCAAATATTTTGCGGTTTTCATACAGTTCCTTGAAGGCTCCTTCCTCTGTATATGATTATGATATGAATTCAAGCATTTCTGCTTTGAAGAAGATTGACTCAGTAAGCAGAATCAAAAGTTGAACATACTTAGCCGCATGCTGATTCATTGTGTTTCACTTATGTTTTGATTTATAACTTCATTCTTATTTATTTCTTTTAGGTTTCATGTAAAGGTAGATTTTTTTTTTTATTTGTTTTGCTTAAGCTGCTTTATTTCATATTATCTGGATTAAAACTGTGTCTTTCGTTATTGTTTTTCAATTCATGATTGATGCCATTTCTTGTTCTTACTATTTGAAGATAACGCATGAAGTGCTAAAATGAATCTTATATACTATGCTAGTTGGAAAAAAAAATATTCTTAGCATGTTATTAAAGCGCTGCTCATAAATCATAATGTGTGCATGCTCAACAATAACCCTCTCAAGAAGAGGGAGAAGGGAAAAAATAATGGAAAAGAGAAATACATATGATGTATGTCTTTAATACATTTTTCAATGAATTTTATAGGTGCCTGATACATCCAGTTCATAGGCTCACTTAATCTTTGCATTTCAGCATCTTTGATTCAAATAGAGCTTGTTTTGCCCATTTTTCACCCACTGATATATATGTATGTATGTATGTATAAAATTGCATATCCTATAAATGTAGAAGCACTGGCAAACCGGGATTGAAAGGATTTGGCTTCATTTCAATATAACAATTCCTTTCTTGTCGTCATGATAGAGATCCTTTACAGCTTGCTCAGATCCAGGAAATTCTCAGTTGTTTCCTTTCAGACAAAGTTCTATATTTTTCATCGTCAGTAATACACTGATTGTAAAACTAGAAGCTCACATTTTTGTTTTGGATATTTGTATAGACTTTTGCTGATTTTTCTTGGGTTTCTTATGAATTCCTTTTGTCATGTTGGATCAATTTGTCTATGCTGTTTATAGTTTTTTCATGCTCAATTCAGGTATTGGGTGGTTTTGATGCGGCACATTATGTTACTGATAGGCTGTGGGCACCTGGTTTATGATGGGAACTTTGATTCCCATTCAATTGTCTACCGGAAGGACCTTGTTAAACTTGATGGATCTGATCCTTTACTACTTTATGGCTATGGGTCTTATGAGGTATAAAGGGGAACAAATATTTATGAATTCAATTGAAGATATCATTGACAGCTGTGAATAGTTTGCATTTGATGGTGCGATGAGTGGTGAGAGAAAGTAGTTGCTTTGGGTGCACGCACACGCATTTATTTATTTTTAAATGTTTTATGATGTTGTTGTTCCAAAGAAGCCCTTCATGTGCTTGCCATTGCTAATTGACAGACAGTAGAATACATACTTAGATATGACCGAATTTCTTTCCCAATTTTGTTCTTTCCTTTCTTAAATACAATCCCTCTGTCTTATCAGTTGATTTTTGTATTGTTGACTGTTTATTAATGGCTTTCTGATTCCAGTATTGATGAGTATAGTCGCGTTAGTAATTTGTGACATGCTGTGAAGAAATGTCAATTGGGCCAGGAGTGTGATGAGCTAATGAGTATGTTGTGGGACGGGGAGGTTTATTAAGGGGGTTTGGAGTTTTGTTGGAAGCAGGCAGAATCTTGTTTTGTGAGGGAGAGTGCCTGATCTCTCAAACACCACGTTGGGTGGAGGAGGCTTCTTTCTCATCATTTGAGTGTGCTGAGTTTACTTTTTCCTGCTTCTGGTAGCTTATTTAATTTTGTGTGTGATTTCTGATGTGATTTCTCTTTCATCCCACTGAAGAAGAGAATATTTCAAATATAATTTAGTATCAGTGCTTTCATAGAGTATTCCTTAGACTTATATACTGTCAAATTTATATCTTTTTTTTTGGGGTTTCTTGTAAGTCCAACTCGTCTCACAATAATTTAGTGACCCACTTCATCAACAGATGATTTTGCATAGATCCCAGTTTCAAGTCATCAAGGCTGTCATTGTTAGATCGAGGTTTTATATTTGCAATTGCTCATATTCGCGGAGGTGGTGAAATGGGAAGGCAGTGGTATGAGAATGGGAAGTTCTTGAAAAAAAAGAAACACTTTTACAGATTTTATTGCTTGTGCTGAATATTTGATTGATCAAAAATATTCTTCAAAGGAAAGGAAAGACTGTGCATCAATGGTCGAAGTGCAGGGGGTTTACTAATTGGTGCAGTCCTTAATATGAGGCCTGACTTGTTCAAGGCTGCTGTTGCGGGTGTACCTGTGTGTGACAACCATGCTTGATCCATCTATACCTCTCACAACTTCAGAATGGGAGGTATTTATCGTCCTTTGTTAAATTATTAATATGTTTGGTTTTCTGTTATAAACAACGAACCTTATTCCATTAGGTGAAGTCAGTTACATTGATCGCATGATGCCCATTGTGCTTTATTTACCTCGTGTACCATATTTATTTGGTTTTCTATTAACATTTGAAAAATGCTTTAATATATGTGTTCTGCTATATTTTTCTTGGAATATGTGGACTTGGAACTGCGCTGTGTTGTTATATTAAAAAAAAAAGTGTTTTTTATTGGTAGTATTATGGAAGAAGCGGAAATTACCAGCTTCTCTTTTGCATCTTCTGTATTCTACACGTTATAATAAACACCTTGGCCCTTGCTATATTTCGACATTGCCATAATGTGGATATCTTGTATGGATATGTGCTTCAATTCGTGCCTTTTCCATTAATACATGAGCAGTTAATGTTGCCGCAACAATTTACTAGGTTTTTTCTTTTTGTCATACAGGAATGGGGAGATCCTAGGAAGGAGGAGTTCTACTTCTACATGAAGTCATATTCTCCAGTTGATAATGTGAGAACCTTATGATAAGTATTTTGGTTAAAAGTTACCTTCGCTGTGAAGCCTTGCCTATCATTTTTATCCATCATGGCTTGATTTTTTATTTTTTTTTAAATCTTGGTTGGCATCTAAGTTTTCTTGGAATTTTTAATCAAAACTTTGTTTATCATTTGATCCCACTCTTATTTTATGCTTATGCAGGTGAAGGCACAAGATTATCCTCACATTCTTGTTACTGCTGGCTTAAATGGTAACCATGTATTATATGGTTTAATCATAGATCCTATATCTGTCTACTTTCTAAACATCTCATCAACTAGTGAACAATGATTACTGTAAATTTTGGTGGACAATAATGATTTCACTTGCCTATGGGCTGCAGATCCACGTGTTCTGTATTCTGAACCTGCTAAGTTTGTGGCAAAACTGAGGGATATGAAGACCGATGATAACATTCTACTGTTTAAATGCGAGCTTGGTGCAGGGCATTTTTCAAAGTCTGGGAGGTATGGATTAATTTAATGAGTTCTTTTTTGTAAATTTTTTTTTTTTTCAATCTAATTTCTCTTGATTTTGATTTTTCCCTCTTCCTCTTCTTCTTCCCCTTTTCTCTTATTGAAAATTGGGGAGGCTGTGGATCTTTTGGAAAAAAATACTCTGTATTTCATTGATCTGAAGCATCACTACATCCCTATTTTTTTACGCATGGGTGGTATAGAATGAATGCTAATAGTTTAATACCCCTAATAAATGTTAATAGAGAAATATTCAAATATTCACAATAATTACGCAATATTCCCACACCCCTCTTAAATTGAATCATAAATGCTAATCATGTCTGACTTGCTTATACAAACTCTCAGGACAGGTTTGAGCAATCCTTTTTGTCAATCCTTTAGTGTTTACTTGAAGATCTGTAGGTAGATAAGTCAAATATGGTTGCTTCTTACACTTTGTTCAAGTTGAATGGGATTTGGAGCTATGCTCATAGGAGCCTTGTTGTCATAGTAGAGTTTTTACTGGTAAAGCCGTGTGGATTTGTATTTCATTTAGGACTCATTTCAGCCGTAGTTCTTTCATTATTCCTTGAGCCATTGCCCTTCACTTGGATTCTGCTGGAGTTCTTAAATATTCTTTAACCTAACTCAGCAGCAGTAAAATGAACGTAGTTATAATGAATTAAATAGGTTAATCATTCATGATAACATTTTCTATCATGATAACATTTTCTATTACGCAGAGTCCACATATTGTATTGGAATAACCATACAAACTATGGTCATGGCATCCATGAAGCGTGCTTAGTTGACGAATTTCGTGTCAACATTTCATATTTAATTGGCGAACTTTGTGCAACAACATAACATGTTACGGAACATGCCAGCCTTCAAAACTTGTTACAAGTATGAAAGAGAGCTGTTAACTTGTCTTCCGAGCTTAACCAAGAACTGACTGTGTTGTTGTGCTGCTTCTCTGAACTTCCTCTTCTTACATTCTCCTATTAATTCACAACCTTTCTCTTCTTTTTTTGTTTTTCTACTTCAGTTAAGTAAGATTTAGAGAATGGTCGAACCAATAGTGTTTTGGGAGGGAAAAGAGAGGTTCAACACATAGGAATTATCGTTTTTACACATTGTTTGATGTGAGGGGTTTGGAGGGAATTTTGCTCCCCTCCCCTTGTTTGGCTTCCTAAAATTTTTAGGAGGGTTCCTAACCCTCCTCTCCAAAGTCGGGGGATTGGAGGGAGGGGTATATCTATGCCTTGCATTGACTAAAATGCATATAGTTATTTTTAAAATTCCAGACTATCCCTCTTATATCCTGCTCAGACCAGTTGTTGCATCTCCTATTCCTTGTCCTCCTCATTCTCGATTGACATAATCTCTCATCCTCATCCTCACCGTCAATTAGAAGTTCACCTCCGATGTTGCGAGCATGTGCGGTCATCAATCCCTGAACTATCTTCCCCATTTTAGCCCGTGTAGTTCTTCTTCAATCTTCATTCTGCCTCTTTTCTTTGAACTCGAATCAAACACAGCTTTTGATTTTGATCCTCTAAAAAACTCTAAAAAGTTGGTGGGGGTGCTAAACGATAATGAGGAAATGAGCAAACAATGAGAGGCAAAATAATGGCAGAAGCTAATGGAAGTGGAAATGTGGTTTCAAACCTCCATGAAAACTTGTTTCCTTGTGAATCTTGATGCGTCGATTTCTTCGTTCTTGCCTGACCTATATGCTCTGTTTTGTTCTCCTTTTCGTTTTCCTTTTCGTTTTTTCTCTTTTTTGTTTGCCTTTATTCTTTTCTTCTCTCCAATTGTACTTTTTTTTATAATTTTGAATGTATATGTAGTATAATTATAATTTATTTATTTTAATAATTATATATTATAATTTACAATTTATATTAAATAACAAATTATGTTTTATTAAGCATTCTTAAAGCTTTAAAAAAAAAAAAAAAAAAAGGGTAAGTCCATATAAAAATATTTTCCCTACCTTGGCCTCCTAAACCAAACAAGGACATTAAAATCCCTCTCTTCCCTCCCCTTCCTTTTAATCATTCAAATGAGGGAATTTAAAATCTGCTATCAAAAAAAGGTACTACTGAAATCCCTCCTCTCCTCCCTCCCCTTCTCTCTCCAGTAAAATCTCTCCCCTTCCCCTTCCCTCTCTTCGATTGAATCAAATAGACCCTGAATTTGCCAAGTAACCCTCACTTGTTGCCATGAATTGCTAGCACCTACTGAGGATAAATAGTACGTGTTCATTACTAATCCATTTAATTTTCTCATGCATTGTCACCTCACTTTGCTAATTTTTCTGGATGAGACAAAAAACATAGGGAGGGGTGAAATGGCAATTGAAGAGGTGAGATAACATTGAAATGAATGATAATGCCATTAAGTTCCAACTAGTGTTTGTTTGGAGCTTCTTATTATAAGCATGTTCATGTAAGCCAAACAAAAACTTCTCTCATATACCTTACCTTGTATACTGTAGAAATTGAAAAGCTGCTTGTAAAGGCTCCAATTGTCATTCCAAACAAGCACTAACTTGGTTCCCTGAGGGCGTGGTGATCACTTGTTAATTGTAAAATAATAGTGTAATGATCTAAGGTACATGCAGCTAATGTTTTTTCTTGGGGCAAGAGAGATATATGTCAAAATGGTGAGGAGAGATGATACAAGACCGAAAGCTCTTGCCTTCAAGCGTGTGATGAATGAGCTGGGTTTGCCGCTAAATGAAAAGAGCATAAGTATCAATTAGTCTTCTTTCGGTCAAGAAGCTGATGCATAATTATCAACGCCACCTCCTACTTGATATATCCACTTGCACATGGTTAGATGTTCAATCTTATTAACGCCATTCACTCTAATTACCAGCGCCCCCATCATGCTTTTTCTATTACATCTTAGCAGGAATCCCTTGTAGTGCCACTTCTTTTCTTGTTTTACCTTCACCTCCACCATATCAACTTGTTATTGTGGAATGATCATTCTTTTTATGCCAGCTCGTGGCTTAAACTCATTAATTTTGAAGCATTCGTCGTCTTCTACTGTTTCAGAGTTTGGTCTTTTACTTGCCACCACTCATGGTTGCATCCCCGTTAGTTAATATATACCCTCCGATCCTTAATATAAGACCCAATTATTGAGTTGGTTTCATTTCTTATATTCTTTTCACATCATATTTATCATTTCTCTAAATTATCCCTATGGATACTCCCTCAACCATAATCAAGCAGAAAGAGGAAGAGGGGGTATTAAGAAAGATGATTATGGTGTTTTAAGAAAAACATGTCACATTTCTTATAATTAATTAACTTATCTAATTTCCTTAATCTAATCAAATTAGTTAAATAGGTCTTATATTAAGGATTGGAGGAGTACTTACTTAATGGGATTGACCATTGAATGCTTTTATGTTCCAATCACTAAATCTTAAGTCTGTGCATCTCTTTATTTTTGTCCTTCTCTCTTTTCCTTAGTTTATCCTCTCCTGGGATAATGATTTTTCCTTGTTATCATTATATGGTAAATCCTAATACATACATTAAATATCCTCTCAAATTATTATGATAAATATTAAAATTATTTATCATCCTTTCTCTCTGTACTTCTTGCAATATCATTTTAATGTCTTGAGAATATATTTGGGAACCAATTTGTCATGCTCAGAACTCTTCCCTCATTTCCCTTAATTTTTCTCACATTTTAGTCATTTCCAAATATTTCTGGAACATTTGGTATTTCCTTATTTACCATGATTTATAATTCAACAACAACATCCATTCGACATAGCTAAGTTTTCATAGTTAACTATTGGGATCTCTTGCTTTCCTCTTTTTCCTCTCTTTTAGTTAGTCTGTAAGCTCTTATCCTATCCGTAACCAAAACTTGTTACTTGCGCGACCTACAAGTTCTCAGTCTAATTTTTTTGGGATGTTACAGAGGCAAGGATAAACGTCATTTAAAGAAATGAGTTCCAAAGAAGAGCAAGGATTGCCATGATTTGTCTAACTCTAAACTGTAGGGCGTGATTTAATGGGCTCCATTAACCATTTATAAAGCGCAATGATTTGTGAATAGTGTTTTCTTATTATCATTCTATTTATTTTATATATTTTTGTCATTTTACATATAATATCTTTTGGGATGTAGTTCGAGAAGCTCCAAGAAGATGCCTTCACCTATGTCTTTATTTTGAAGGCCCTGAATATGATTAGTTAGCTCGAGACCCGTGGGCACTCAACTCGAGTCTGGAGTTTCAATTTAACTAGCGAACTTTTGCGGTGATCACATGGATCGTTTATAGTCACCATGGGTTAATCTATTGTTCTGATTATGTGCTTCTTTTATTAGTTAACTTTGTGATTCGTCTCATAATCAGTTTTTTTTTTTTTTTTCCCCACTTATTTGTATTATTGCTGGACAGCCAAGAGAGAACAGTATGATTGTAACCAAAAAAAAAAAAAAAATCAATTTTAAGAGAATAAAATTTATTGCAAGCTCATTTTTATAACTTTTTGGATTTTATTGGAGAACGGGCGCAATTGATATCAATATATACTATCTCAACTGACACTATGGTGGCTCTGCAATTGTGTATTTGTAGTTTATGATTCGAGTTGCACAGTCTATGTTGCACAGGGGCTCCACCCCCTCTGTTTTTATCATTATGTATATTTTTGTTTTGAATTTGAATGCTTTTGTTATCTTTCAATAACATCTGGCATGGGAATATGGCTTCTAAATATTTACACTGAATAATGTAACAAGTGAAGCTTCATGGCTCTCCTCCCTAGGTTTTTGGGTCGTGCAATTATACACCTTTCTTCAAGTTTAGTATGTTTTGGGATTCTAGCACCGGTATACCGTAGTCCAGTTATCATTGCAGCTCATTTGTTTGATGGCCGAACACTATGTTCAATGGTCTTTCAGCATCAGCAGCAACTGTTCATGAAAGGGAAAGACAGTTAAACCAACCTCAAAATGCCACTCAATATAGGGAGTGGCAAGCAGACAATAGCATTCCGCAAGCATGGCTATGAGCTTTTGAAAACTGCCAAAGAGATGTTCTTGGGCATTGAAGGAGTACATGACCTAAAAGCAAACGCAACATGGGTTTCATTTCAATATTGTATGTTACCTTGTTCTTAATGTAAGATTAATGTAAGATTTAAATAATTAATTTGAGAATATTAAAAAAAAATTAGTCAAGTTAGTTATTTGTAATAAATGTGTATTAATTTTCTAAAACTATCATACTTAATCATGTATTACCTCTGCGGTATTAAATGGTAAAAGTTAGTTGACTACTTAAGTATGTTAAGAAAATAAGTTTAGTTAGTTATTTGTAATAAATTGTAATTGGATTGTCTTTCTTAAATATCTTTGCTAATTAAGTGTATTAATTATAATTATTATTATTAGAAGGACTATCTTGAGAACAAATAGATAAATCTGATAGACAAAATAATTGGGATCTTATATTTAGAATCAAAATAAAAGTCAAATGAGGTCTTATGTTAAGGATCGAAGGTAGTATATATGGAATTAACCCTTTGGTAGAAATCCCTTGCAATAATATGAATATTTTAGGAAAAAATTATAAATTTAAAAGATAAATAGATTGAGGTTTTATATTTAAATTTGAATTTAACTCTCAATTAACTTTTATATTAAGAACCAAAAGAAGTCAATTGCCTTGGACACACTGCATAGTATGAAAAGATCAAAGATTGAATATAAGCCTTTATCGAGAGCAAACTACTTATTTGATGCAAGTGGGATGCTTGCATTGAGATCAGATTCCCACTAACGAATTCATGGCTTCTGCTGAAAGGACGACGGCTCTTAAACAAAAACAAAAGAGGCAGGTCATGCTACGATCATTGCCGCAAACACGTAGAAGAATTTTGCTTAAAATGGGGAAAAAATGATGGTGCCAAACAAATGTTTTGGAATTATATGTGTGTATCTCCTAAATGAAAACTAGCAATAGTTCAATTTCTAGCACAAGCAACTTGGTAAAAGGCACTCTTAAAATCCCACGATGGTCAGGTTTGAGAAGATTTTGGAACCTTTGAACATGACCGGTACTTATTCTTTCCTTGTGAATTTTACCTTTTTACAGAATAATATACTCCCTCCTGTAAATATTTATGATTTTGATGAAACATAGCTTTGAAAATTTGATTTAATAAGAAGTTATCTACACCATTGTTGAAGATGCATTACAGTGAATGCTAGAGCTTAATAGCTTTATCTTTAGCTCTTTTATTTGTAATGGTAGAATTTTGGAAGTAATTCTTGGTAATTTCATGTTAAAAAACCAAAATGATTTGAAAAACGTCTGTTTCACATAAGAGGAACATGCTTATGAAAAGATGAAGAAGCTAAGGTCTTTAAACCTCAACATACTGTAAATGATTATTGAACTATATTTTTATGGACAATAATATTAGTCTATTGGGCCAATTTGGGTCTAGGCCCAGTTTTTTTAAAACTTTCAGTTGCGGGTTGTTAGGTTATACAACAATGAGATCTTTATGTAGTCATTGGATCATTAATGAGAATAATCAGATCATTAGTGTAACCTGTATTTTAATTTTAAGAGAGGTCTATATGGATTTTCAAAATAAAGGGATGCCTATGTAATTAAGGAAAACTGAGGGGTGGTTAGAGTATTTTACTCTTAGTGTCTACTATACCACATATGCTCATGAACAAGAAAATCGTCAAGCTGGATAATAATAATTTTTTGATGTGGAAGCAATAGGAGTAACTAATGGCCAAGCAACATTGATTGCTAGGATTTCTGGATGGATCTTCCAAACCTCCATCAGCCACAGGGATGTAATTGGTTAGACCATCATAAATCCAACCTTTGAGGAATATGAAGTGCAAGATTCATCTTTGGCCTCCTAATTACTTTCCTCTATCAATACATCAGTCTTACCTGAACTTGTTGGGTTCAACACAGCTGCACAGATTTGGGCTTGTCTTGAACAACTTTACTCTTCCAAATCTGATGCGAAAATACTGTCCTACTAAAATAAGCTTTCAAATCAACGAAAGGGCGAGCTGTTAATGCGCGATTTCTTAGCAACAGTGAAATCAATTTGCTATCATTTGGCTATGCTTGGATATCGAGTTGCTGAGACAGATCATATCTCATATATACTAAATGGATGGACTGCAGAATATGAATAAGTTATTGTTGTAATTAATGGTGCTCATGGTCGATTCTCTATCTCTGAGGTACGCACGATGCTTATTGATGCCGAGACTAATCAGAAGGCTTTTATTCAATCAGTTTCTTCTCAAGCAAAATATTCAAGTCTAGTTTACCAAGGTTCATCTAAAGTACCAGAGCAGATTTACAATACCACCTATAATTCTCTTGGCAGAGGTTGCGGAGATGCTCCTCCTTCATTTCAACAACTGCCATGTTCTCCAGCTCCATTTGGGTGAGGCTGTGGTCCAACATTCAATCGGCCAACTTGTCAGATCTGCATGAAAGTAGGTCACACTGGAGATCGGTGTTACTTTCAATATGACTACAACCTTAATAATACGCCTAATATTGTTAATACTCCAAGTGTGTATAATACTGTTTCCTATTTTGGTGAGCAATCTATTGAAGAATATGTTCAACCTCAGATCATGGCTATGGTCAGTCTTCTTCTCAAACTTATTGCACAAATTCTCAAGTGCCTTCCAATCATATCACTATGCCACCAGCTGCGCTTGATGCCACAACTAGTCAAACTTTAGCTATTTCATCTTCCATTGCTCCAACTGGTAGTGCAATAGTTATCTTGCAGCGCCAGTCAATACCAATAATGATGATGAGGCATGATTCACGAGCCACTCAACATGTTGTTTGCACTGCTGCTCCTTTTCAACAAGTATTTGATGGAACTAGCACAGTGGAAGTAAGTAATGGTCAACCTTTACCTATTTCTAAATTTAGACATGCTGTTTTACTTGCCAGTAGACCTTTACATCTTCGTAATGTACTCTGTGTACTTGCTATGAGAAAGAACTTAATGTCTATAGCTCAATTCATAAGGAAAAATTAAGTGTCGGTTGAATTTTTCCCAATGATTGTGTGGTCAAGGATCTGCAGACCCGAATGACTTTGGTGTATAGTTTTGAGACACGTGGTATGTACAAATATTCTGGAGAGCAAATATTTCAACAGCAAACAAGTTTATCATCATTTCACAGCAGCTACTATTCTGTTTTTGGTTCTGATGTATTGACCTTGTGGCATTGTATGTAACATCCCAAATTTTACTTTAGGACTTATGCCAAAACAATAATTAAAAAATAATAAAAATAAAAAATAGTATAAAATATAATAATATTTTTTATTATTATAAAATAATAATATTTTATTATTATTTATAAAAAAAAAAAAAGAAATGCCCCCCACTTACTGTTTGCCGACAGTGGGAAATTCGGGGGTTGAAAGTAATTAAGAAGAAAGAAAAAAAGGAGGAGACGGTTGTAGGAGATAAATGAGGGGAGGAGTGATTAATAAGAAGGAAAGAGAGGGCGAGAGACAAAGTAAAAAAAAAAAAAAAGAGCGTGAGAGACAGAGAGGAAAAGAGAGAGAGTGAGCAAGAGTATACGTGCTGTCTAAAGGATAAGATAAGCATTTGGGGATCATTTAGGTACACAAAAATACTTCTTTTTATCAAATTTTCTTTATGAATATTCTTATATATTTAAAGCTTTATATTGGTAGTATTATTATAATGTTTAGAGAAAATTTTGAGATTTGGGTATGGAGTAAGTATCGAGTTTTGACAATAGGTGACCATAGAAATTTAAAGGTAAATAATAGTGAATTTTAATCAGTTTGGATTTGTCCATTTATTACTTTTGGTATTTAAAATTAAATTTATTTTGTTAAAAAATCTGTCATTTATGATATATCATATTTATTCTGATTAAAATGAAGTTAAATAATTTATTTGGATTCTTTAATATATTATTGAGATTTTAATTAGTTTATATTTATTCATTGATTGTTTTGAGAATTTTGAACTAATATTTTAGTTGAAAATGTATTATTCAAGACACATAGAATGTTTTTACCTATTAAATTGAAGTTAAATAAATTATTTGGATTATTTAATATATTATTGAGATTTTAATCAGTTTAAAATGTGAAATAGGTTAAGGGTATATTATTAGAAAAGTTTTTAAGCTGGAAACTTAGGTTATAAATTGAAAATTTTACACAATTAAATAAAATCAATATTTATTTATAACTCAAATGAGTTATTTGGGTGGAGAAAAATGTTATTTGAAGTAAGAATTTTTAGGTAGTAATTATAGGTATATATATTAATAATAATAAATTCTCTGTAATTTAAGTTATTTATTTGTATGTATATTAAATTGTATCTATATTATTTATAGATTATCTTGTATTTTGGAGTCTGTAATTTGTATTCTTATTTCTCAAGTTGTGAGGTTAAGCTTAGAGTACAGGTAATCAGGGTT